GGCAATTTTTCTTTTCTTTTTGAAAGCTTAATCTTCATCTCACAGTGGCCACATTAGCTGTGGCATGTGTCAAAGAACATCTAGGTGTGTGATAAAGTGCGTGATGAAAAATTCCCCACGCTAGCTGGCTGTTCATCTACGAGAAGTGAACACACGTGGCGGCCTGTGCGAGGAACAGCGGCATCTTCTTCAAAAATATGCAGTGTTGACTGTGACGTGTAGTGTGCGTTGAAAGGCATCGAAAATATTGGTTCATCTTTACGGCCGGTAAAATTGGGAATATTGTGCGTGGTGTGTGCAGTGTGAATAATTCGATGCGTCCTGTTGGCGAAAACACTGGTATTTGTTATGGGCCTGGTTTCAGTAAACAATTGCCGATGAAACTTTACGATCTGACATTGTAGTCAAGGTAAAAATACATTCGACGCGATCATCTGTGAGTAGGTACATCTCAGCGTATGTGCGGCGTGCAGAAAAATAAAAGGGCATGATCTCTTGGTGATATATATGCGACTACGCATGAGCTATAAGCATGTTGTAGCGTTGCCGAATCTGCATTTTTGCTTCACCACAGCTATAACTCGTAATATCGGATACCTGATACGCATTAATGGAAACAGCGGAGATTTTGGTTTCTTATCTACTTTGTATTTTTACGGCTCAATCCTTATGAATTGACAATGCGCGTTAGAAGTTTGTGTATCAGGCCTAAAGGAGCGATAGGTACGAACACACGTTATAGGTGTCAAATGCAGTGGTAACTGTGCCAGATAATACTATATATTTTTAGGATGTCGGGTTTTACATCACATAAATTTTCACTGGGTTATTGAGAAACGCAGTGGCAGAACTTCAATTTGATTTTCACGAGGATATGTTAACCTCAGCCTAACCCACGGCAAGAAGTGTTTTTTTTTTTTTTTTCATTCATCTCCAATGAGACTTTTGGGCAATGAGTGAGAATCTTATCCGTGACGTCGCGCACCGCAGCTCAAAACCATGCTGCCACCAATGCTGTACCTGGTTTAAAACTGCAGTGCACATGCCACAATGGAAATTGAGTAAGTTTACATCCATGCCATGCAAATATTTCTCAAAGTCAGTAATGTTGTACATTCAAAACGTTTGCTTTCCAAAAAGATCATTTTTTTTTTTTTATGGCTGCCATATACGTGGGTGAAAACAATGTGGGCTAGTCGCATCTCTCAGTACTCTAAACAAGGTTTCTCCATCCATCCAACTACGACGCGCAAATTCCCACACTATGAGCAGTCATCCTTCCTCTGCCCCCTTCTTTCAAAAGCTGTGACTTTATAACATAGCAATGTAGAAATTTCTGTCGAAAGAAGGCAGACACGCAGCTCTGCTATGCATAAAGATGCCGCCAAAGGAGCTTTCTTGCCAATCAGCACCTGCTCCGAGAGAGGGTGTAGGGGGCAGGGTGCCCTCAGTGATGTCACACTGTTTACAAACAGGGAGAGGTCTATTCATCTAATAGGTCACTTGTGTTGCATTTTTGACTGTCGTAGCATTCGTTTTGTGCTGCTTCCAGAGTTCGTCTTGAACGTTCAACCATAAGGCTAGAAACCAGTGCCCAGGTCGAGCCACAGCGTGAAGCCTGACGCGAAGAATAAGTTTTTATTCTTTATTCTTTATTCAATGATTACCCCGCTTAGCCCGAAGGTGCTGCAGCAGGGGGGTTACAATGTCGAGAAAAACACATCTTCATTAATACAGCACACTTGTTCATTTGATAAGTAATTCCATTCTCTAATGGAACAAAAAAACGAATTAGCATACAAATTAGATCTGGTACGGTACTCTAAAATCTTGAAACAATGATCATTTCGCGAAGAGATATAATGAGGACTGTGAAGGTACTTTTCTTTTGAATGCCGGTTTTACCATGAAGTACTTGGTACAGGAGCTTTAGCCGCAGTTTCTTTCGACGCGATGAGAGTAATTCCCACCCTAGTTCATTTTTCATATTGGTGCAACTGTCATTTCTTGAGTACCGGCTTAGGACAAACCTTGCAGCTCTATTTTGTATTTTTTCAAGTTTGTAACTTAAAGTACTTTGCCAGGGGTCCCACACGACACAGGCGTATTCAAGCATAGGGCGAATGTATGTTGAATACGCCGTTGATTTCAAACATGCCGGCGCTTGTGTCAGGCTTCGCTGTATAAAATTTAGTGACTTGGCGGCCTTCGCAACAACTGAATCAACGTGTGCATTCCATGAACAGTCGGCTGAAAAAGTTACACCTAAATATTTATAATGCGGTTTTTGTGTTACTACACTATTACAGATTACATACTCTGAAGCTAACTTGGTTTTTTTACGCGTGAAAGTAACATGAATGCATTTATTGACATTCAATGTCATTTTCCGCCTTGAACACCATTCTTGGATGCGCGATAAGTCGCTTTGGAGCAGGGCGACATCACTCTCATTTCTAATTTCTCTGTACAAGACACAGTCATCTGCAAACAACCGTATATTAGAATCAATTCCTGAGCAAATGTCATTTATATATATTAAAAATAAAAGTGGCCCTAGGACTGAGCCCTGTGGCACCCCTGAAGTGATGTTTACAAAACTTGATTTTTTGCCATTTAATACTACACACTGTTGGCGGCCTGCAAGGTAATTATCTATCCACACCATAACTTCGCGGTCAATGTTTAGTGCTGCAAGCTTACTTAAAAGAAAAGAGTGCGACACAGTGTCGAAAGCTTTTTGGAAGTCCAGGAAAAGGCTTCCAGGTGATGATGATGGCGATAGGGCTATTACACATTTGAATAGGGCAGTAGATGGAAAAATACGCTGGCATTCTAATGGTGATGATGATAGTGGCAGCTATAAGGCTGGGCATTATTTTTGCAGCCACGAGTAACAATTTAAAATTGGTATTCGTTATTTTGAAGTGTTGTGAAGATTTGAGGGCGATAAAATTCGACAAGTTTTTCTAGAACTTTCGGTATTCTGAAATTTGTAGTAGTGAAATATTTTTACATTAAACCAATAGACATTTGGAAAGGTATTTATGAAAAAGTCGTTAATCTAAAAATTTTCTATACTGAGGTTCACTATAATGAGATATGGCTGCACACAGCTGACTCTATACCACGATTTTTACTTTCGTATGTGACGTTTTCCTGTTTTTAGAAAAATAGGCTGTAAGCACAAAGCACGGACGTGGGGCTTGCGCTAGGGTGCATTTTCACTCACTACTTTCAAAAAACTGGGTTGGAGGCACGAAAGATGCTGTTTAAGAAACGCTCGAATGAGGAGAATATGCAGAAGAGACATCTTTCCCAAATTGCGAAGAAAACAAAAAGGAATTTTTCTTCTCGAAATTTTGCTAATCATGTGCCCTTAAGCAGAGTTCTTTACAGGAGAGAAAAAGGCCGAAAAATTCTCTTTCCCCACTTTCTTTTGTGGTGGGTTTAGGTTTATGCACAGAGCAAAAACATTGAAGAGGTGCAGCTCCATTCCTTGAGGCGAACAGATAACGTCAAATTGCCGGAGATCCACTTCATGCTGGCGGCGTCTGGCAGCATAAAAGAGAATTGCCACCGTTTGGGTTTCAGAGAGAACCAATAGCGTTCCACAACTGTCACAGACCCTGGATGTGTTGCGCATTCAGCCCCATTTAGTTCCCGCATCACTTTTCCTCTCCAAAACTTGTGCCCACAGTTGAATGTTTTAGCAAAACACCAGCACCCCATCTTAGGTTAGCGAAAGTCTAAGAATGTGCTGTAGGGGAGCTGGCTATCGATCCTATCGCAGATGTCACGAAGCTGTGATGCTTTTGAAGGCAGAGACAGCTTGTCCAAAATGAAATTGTTTATATTTGTTCGCACTTGCGGCCAGTAAATGGAAAGTCAGTTTACAGCAATTCACGCTGGCCCTGATTGCAGCGAACAGAGCATCCAGATCGATCAACTGACGAGAGGTGATGGGCATTGGCATTTACACATGTGCTGTCGAATATTCTAGCATTATCGCGAGCAGCCACGCAAGTTCTAGAAGAAACTGTAATGTCCACGTTGTGCATGTAATCACGTCGAAAGGTTCTAAAATTACCTTGACAGTTGTTAGTCAATCAGTGCAGTTTGCGCAAGGCAACACTTGCAAGTGTAATCGCACAGTAACAGAACTTGAGAAATGAGTGTGGCAGTATATATTTCGGAGCTTACACGTTGTTTGGGAATTAGGGTCTACACACGTGGATTGGATTGCAGGTGGCCAACGCAGCCTCGATTTCTCACTAAAATTAGTACAACTGAGAAAATCTTGAGGTTGGTCGGGCATTTTGGCATAGCATGGTGCAATATCAGCAAATAGCATGGTTTCTACTCAACTTAATACAAAAATAGGAAAGCATCAAATTGGCCCAATTGGCAAAGCTGTTGTGCCACTGGACATAATGTAACCATTGGCTCATGTCATAGTATTCACAATGCGATAATTGCAGCAATCTGGTCCAAGCTTTCTCTTGCGAGTGCGCACAGGCAAAAATATATAACTGGTTTGAAATAGTATCAAGCAGGATGAACTGATCCCAGTTGGGAACTAACTGGTCCCAGTTGATTCCAGTTAGCAGCTGGTACCAGTTACACTTTGATTTGTAGGGTTTAACCTCCCAAAACCACGATAAAATTATGAGAGACGCCGCCGTAGTGGAGGGCTCCGGAAATTCGGACCACCCGGGGTTCTTTAACGTGCGCCCAAATCTGAGCACACGGGCCTACCATCGGAAATGCAGACGCCGCAGACGGGATTCGATCCCGCGACCTGCGGGTCAGCAGCCGAGTACCTTAGCCACTAGACCACCGCGGCGGGGCACCAGCTACACTTTAACTGGTCCCAGTTGATACCAGTTAACAGCTGGTCCCAGTCCCAACTCAATTGGCCACCAACCAGAACCATGACTAGTTGAGCTGGAAACAGGCATCATGGACATAAGAACAGGCCTCTATAGCGTAGGTCTCACCTCGTGTGCTCGGGCCTCCAAAGAGCAGCAGTGCATGAGCTCGGTAGTCGATCATCTGGTTGACCGGGTTGGCCCTCAGGTCGAGACTCTCCAGACATGGCAGCGCCCCCACGTGGCCCACCTCGGAGACCAGGGCGATTGCATTGCGCGACACGTCCAGCTCCACCAGTGAGTACAGTCGCGACAGCCCTGCCACACAAAAACGGAGACATTCACAGAGCTCAAATGCCCAGGATTTGGGGCAATGGAAATTATTGTATATGCTCCCTACCAGGGCAAAGTTGCACATAGATCTGCCATTATGTTCAATGGCTGTGCAGTGAAGCCACTTGTCATGAGTGCAGAGGACAAATACGGCGCAAAGTTCTGGTGCAGGTGACAAGCGTACGACTTATTTGCACGCGTTAAACAACATTGCACTTTCACAGCGAAGCTATACATATATGGCTATAGGTTTTAGAGCATTGCGTCCACGGGCAAGACAACGCATACAACTACAACTTCACACTGTTTGGCCGATCTCGTAGGCAGTGCAGCTCAAAAAAACAATGAATCATACACACAACAAAGTGTGAGTTAAGTGAAGTACGTGAGAACTGAAGTGAACCAAAGGCCCATTAGATAAAAAAGTGACGGACTTACACGTAATGTAATTAATTAAAATGTTGAATTGATTAAAAGGTTCGTAAAGTGAATTAAAGGTATAATGCATTTAGTGAAACTACATATGGCTAGGCTCTAACTAAAAATGTGTCTGTTTATTGAGTCGCAGGCACAGAAAATATTACAGTGGAGACTGATCCCACCTTCACATCTTTGCACACATGCTATCATAACAGCTCAATAGCTCGTTTGCTACCGCGTAACTTCACAATAAAAAATGGAGCAATATAAGTAGAGCAAATGGAGCAATATTCTGTCGTGATTGTAAATGTGGCTTCACCACAACAAAATAAAACATTTGACATCTTTTTGCACCACGTAACTGCGCTCGCCGAAAATTGGCGCAAGCACCACAAGGAAAAGATGTGCGTAACTGTGCTACCTGCCATATATAGACCGTTCCGTTAGGCTAGAAGTACCAACATCCTCTAGAAAAATATGATGGCCTCATTTATCTTCCCTTTCCACTTGCGCTACATCAGCAGATGGTGTGGATGCATGGCAAGTGTTAGGCAAGCACGTTTTGCCAGACGTCGCAACACAACACAACCGCGCGTTCAAATCACACTGGTGCTTTGCACCAGTGTGATTTGAATCACCATGCATCTGCAGAAACTATTGTGTGGCGCGACTGTACGGACGTACACATCTTCGCTGTTCAAAAATGTGAAAGTGACGATTTTGTTCTCTTTAATTGTGATATCAGCCAGTGAAAGGTAAATGAGGACCACTGTGCTACTTTTAAGCAGTCCAGAGGGCCCAAGAACTGGCGGAACGCCACCACGTTCACGCTCAGACTCGGGCGTCGCCTACAGTAGCGGCTGCTGGGGTGTCCCTCGTGAACACCCTGGTGGCTTAAACTCCTCAGGGCCATTTATTAAAGTTCTTGACTGACTGACTGTGCCACATTTGGCTGGGCTAATATGCAACTGCAGAAAAAAAAACAGAAAAATGCTGTCTGAATAAGTATGAGACACGTATCGCTGAATGCGGAATTTTTCGTTGTTGCATACTCCTCCAGGTACATTGTTTGTATAACGCTAGAAGCATCTGCAAAAGCCCCAATATATCCCCGATTTTCCCACTCAGTGCAATGACAATTAGATATGGCCAGATTGACGACCATATATAATTGGTAAAGTGCAAAACATCATCAAAGCACCATTTGAGTCGGCACCTTTGTTGCTTTCGATTCGTTTTAATACTACGTTTCAGTATGATGCGATTGGTAAATACAATTAGCCATACAGCTCAGCTACACACTGTGGTTGACATGGCTGTATTAACATGAACGAGAAATTCTTCACTTTTCAGTGGGGTACGGCATGACACACTTAATTTGCACTCTGCACGGGTCGTGTAAAACCAAAATATTCCCTTGAAAAAGGACGTGGCAGGATGCTTGTCATGAGTGTACAATTTCCCTAAGATGGTGGGATGTAAATGTGCAAAATGAAAGCAAAATAGCAAAAAAAAAAAGTTCTGTCACTTCATGCGTGAATATTCACCTCTGGAAGACAATTTTTTGCGTGGAGAAAAAGAGAAAACCAAAACCACAGTTGTTACGGTTTTATAGTGTTTCTATCACAGTCAATCAAATTAGTTGTTTAACTTTGCAAATGGCAGCCAGAATTTCTCAAAAACAGTGCAGCTGGTAAACAAAGTAATTAAAGAAAAACACAAGACACCTCTTATGCCGGTCATGGCCTCAGGCACGGGTGCACTTTGAGCGTCACCAGCAGAAAAACTCTCTAACCATCTTCGCCTTATTCCCACTAAAAATCAATCAAAAGCCGCGACTCTAAAAAGAAGAAAATATAAAGACCCGCGTTGGCACATAAACATCACCATCGCTTTCTATGCGCCAGCACCTAGCTCCCAGTAAACAGTTCTAATTTCGTTTGAACCGATGGGTGAGAAACGAGCGAGTAATAAGCGGTCACCTAAAAGCCTAGCAACAAGATAGACAATTTGTGAGCTACGAACGGATGCCGTCATAGCCACAAAATCGAGGCACTCCCGCACGACTGGTTTGTTTAGGACACCATAAACAAACCATGACAGCATAAGCAAACAGAGAGCAAAAAAACTAACTTGAAGCCAGAAAAAAAATTCATTCTATGCCACAAGCCAGCATTTGCTTGCCCTTAGAACTAGCCAAAATATTCACAGTTTTTTTTCAACAAGAACAGTGCCGAAAAGAAGCATAGACCACTTGGGACACGTTTGCATCATAGCACGTATTATCATATTTGACACCAAAGAAAATAAAATTTTTCAAGGCACATCATAGATTCCGTTTCTAACTCATTTCCAAGCGCTCCCCTTCGTTCCTTCCTTTATAACGCGTCAAATAATTTTTTTGCGTTAAGTGATCAGTTATGCAATAGTAGCAACATCCCCAATGTAATACTCTTGTCAAGTAGCTTCCTAGCTAGACTGCACCACTTGATTCACTGTATCAGAATGACGAAAACCAACTGCAACTGCTCAAATGCCTTCCATACAAATGAGTTTCACACATGCCAGTGAGTTGCCAGACCATGAATGATGCCGCCCGCTAGCCAATATGATGGCACCGATGTTAGAAAGATCTATACAGGGACACTACAGGACGTGCACGTGGCGCCATCTCTCGACGCCGACTTCCTGCCGTAACTTAATGGGATGAGGACTGATTGATATGTGGAGTTTAACATCCCAAATCTACCATATGATTATGAGACACACACCAAGTGAAGGGCTTCAGGAAATTTCGACCCCCTGGGGTTCTTTAACGTGCATCCAAATCCAAGCACATGGGCCTACAGCATTTTCGCATCCACCATTATATGCAGCTGACACAGGTGGGATTCGATCCTGCGACCTGCGGGTCAGCAGCCGAGTACGTTAGGTACTAGACCACCGCGGCGGGGCTTAGCTGAATGAAAGATAGGCTAAAAAAAAAGTATATCTGACCAAAAGGCTAGGTACCAAAAACGACTCGCGGTTATATGCAGCAGACACCCACTGGGACATTCTGGTAAAATTACAATGCCCTATTACAAACCACATGGCTTCCAGGAGCGCTTATTATTGTTACAATCATAGTTTGAGTATGTGCACCTGTGTATAGTGGGTCTGGCACTGAGAGAGGTAAAGAGGAAGAGGACCTGCCTTGGGATCATGGACAATCTCGGTACATGAGGTACAGTGTGGCCAATCCCCCATGTGGGTATGAGCCAAGATCTCCTTGGAGACAAGACAAGACAATCTCGGTTCGAACTCAAAGCCGCTCAGGCTACAGCTGCGTCGCCTCTCATTAAACCCCGTTCGAGGATGGAAGTGGTGGAAGTGCTCAGTACACGACTTCAACGTACCACGAAGCCACAACCATTTGAACTACGCCGGAGCTGCCACCTTGCCAGTACCTCACCGAGGACTTTTACCATGCTTTGGAACGAGGGACAAGACTCAGGTGCAGCTGCAACAGCGCCCAACCCCCTATACACAGGTTCACATACTCAAACTACGACGGTAAGACTGGACATGACAATATTATACATTAGGGCTCTGTGTCCAATGGGAGTACTAGTTCAACTGTCTTGGAATATTGTGGTACAGTAGAATCTCGATGATACGAATTCGAAAAGAGCATGCAAAATATTCGTATCATCTTGAATTCATGTATGAACCGAAAACAATTTAAAAGGCTGATCGTGAAGGTGAACAAGAACTTCTTAGGAGTCAACTGCTTCTTGCTGAAAAAGAGTCCATGATGTTCTTTTGTTAACTTTCTTACCTTCACCACCTCTCAATTAAGTGTTGCAGTTTCCTCACTCATACTGCTGGTGCTTAAAGCGAATTCACACTTGATATCAAAGGAAAGGAAAGCGGCAAAACCTAATCCAAGTTCATTCGCTTTGTCATTTAAGCGGAAGGAAAAACACCCAGTAAAGCTGACACGAAAAAAATCAGTCACACGGGAGACTTTAAGCGAAAACGTCTGAGTGGTAGCAAAAAACCACGACCGCACCCGTCCAAAATGTTCACATCCATTCTATCTACCAAAACAGCCTTCCCCGCTTAAGAATTTATTCTATTGCGCCTGTTCCCTGAGCATTATTAGTCGTACTGAGTTTTAGTTGTGCATGCAAAGCACTGAAAAGAAACAATTTACACCTGTACAAACATCGTTTTGGGAGATGCACAAGCAAAAATGACACAAGCAAACGCACTGGCAGCGGCTGCGACAGATTCAGGCGGCAGTGCAAGACCTAGACGCATCAGGTCGTGCCAACTCGCTGCTGCTGCTGCACGTCCTTCAACTTCCAGTGTTTCCGGCGATCGTAATCCGAACCAGGCTCTCAATGCACCCGCATCTGGCCTTGAGCTTTGTCTTGCTGCGGGGGTAGTTCGTGACTGCGCCGACGTGAGCCACTGCCTACGCCTTTGGCACCATGTTGAATTTGCAACTCGTTTACATGTAGTTTGAGAGCTAGTGGAGCCGGTGTAGCCAAAGCTGTGAAGCGAAAAGGCAATCTGCT